ATTATCCCTGCCTCCAAAAGTTTCTGCCTCAAATTGTCCTCTCTCCAAAAATGTATGTCTCAAATTGGCCCTGTTTCAAAATGCCAGTCTGCATTTATCCTTCTGCCTCAAAATGCCTCTGCCTTGAATTATCCCTGCCTCCAAAAGTTTCTGCCTCAAATTGTCCCTCTCCAAAAATGCATGTCTCAAATTGGCCCTGTTTCAAAATGCCAGTCTGCATTTATCCTAGATTCAAATGTGAATTTAACTGGCTTAGTGATTGACAAAAACCTCATGAAAAATCCCCCACTATTACCTAAACTTGATGCCAGACACATATCTTGGTTTTGACTTTCCCAAAAAGGCCATGAACATTTCATGTGTTGAGAGGTTGAATGAATGCTTCTTTGCATAAAGACCCATTTTTAAAATTCTTAAGAAAGGTTATGCATTCTGTAAAATCATTATATAGACACAATATTTTCTCCACATTAGTTACTTTCTGAAACATAGGCTTTTATTTTTGTTTCAGCCAAAATTATTCTCAACATTTAAATTCACTCATAATTTTCAGTTACTTATTGCTTTTGGACTATATAGACACAATATTTTCTCCACATTAGTTACTTTCTGAAACATAGGCTTGTATTTTTGTTTCAGCCAAAATTATTCTCAACATTTAAATTCACTCATAATTTTCAGTTACTTATTGCTTTTGGACTTTGGTTGAATCTATTTGAAAAGTTTTGCAGATTGAATTCTATGATTCCATTAAGAAAAATCCAGTCATGAAGTAATGAAGATACAAGTTGAACTGTAACAGTAAAAATGAAGCAGAAAAGTTTGTAGATGAAAAAAGTCAGATAGCCAGATAATGAAAATCTTGAGATACTTATTGAACTTGATTATAGAATAGAACTCAATTACTTATAAATTAGAATAGTTTAAAGTTAAACCATCCCAGAAATCCATGCATTAATTATACAATGTACTGGACAACATTTCTTCCTTTTTTTCCATTGTGGCCCGCATAATGCTCTTCCACTTTAATGTGGCCCTTGGCCACTTCTGAGTTGGGCACCACTGTCCTAGGGCATACTCCTTTTCAGAATCAAGCATGTAAACGACATGGTGATTATTTGAGGGTTTTCTCGCCATATATGATAAAAAAAAGCTAATATATTGCTGATATTTTTTTCCACGAGGAAATATTTCAGAAATTCGGTCAGAAAGCGAAGGACAATACGAATTAAGACGCCGGACTCTACATTCCCCGAGATGTGATCCTGACTCCGTTACAATAAATTATACCACTACAATTGCCGGATTACATTGAATGGAATAATCGTAGGCGACAAGTTAATTACGGAACTCTAACCCAAGTAATCAAAACTCCAGATTATGTTAATATTTCCAACAACAGCTGTAAGAATAAGTTAAATACAGTAATTCATGGATTTAAAACTTGCAAAAATCAGAATATTGAATATATCCATCAGTAAAAGAAAACATGCGCATGCATCGATATAAGCTCACATGCAGATGTTATCAGCAGTTGCGGAAAATCCGTATAAGAATAATGTACGTACTGTACCTCAGATTTATATGATCAACAATGAACTTGAGAAAATAACCGTATCCAACGTGATAATCATTCGGAATCCAGATCTTCTCAGAAGACACTGTATTTTCTCAGCATCAGCATGACGATGAAGAAGATATATGAGTGCAGAGGACACGTGTATTGGAAACAAAGCCGGACAAAAATACTTTAAGGAGAACGTTCGGAAGTCAGAGTAGGGAAAACCACTTATTGACATTGGTATGTGAGAAAAACTGCATTCTTATTATTGTCATAACCGTATCTAATCTCGCGGATTCCAGCCAGGTTAATCTCTTTTAAGGAGAACGTTCGGAAGTCAGAGTAGGGAAAACCACTTATTGACATTGGTATGTGAGAAAAACTGCATTCTTATTATTGTCATAACCGTATCTAATCTCGCGGATTCCAGCCAGGTTAATCTCAATCAAAGTAATGACGCAGAAAACACGGATTCTTCGGAGTGCATCTTCAGACTTAAGATAACTTTCGAAATTCGCCGAACCATCGAACATATATGCAGCCAGAGAATCGCCCACAAAACCATCGATCGATAATAATGGGGACCGTGAGTCGCTCTCTGTGAGAGCATTCCGTACTCGTCAGAACGATGACGATCAAGTTACATAACTTCGACTTTTTCGTATACACTATAGTGTAATAGATTTTAATTCATGCATTCTGTAAATAACATACACTACCGTAACAACAGATTGACTATACACCGGATACAGTACAACACATTACAGTATTTACAATGAAATGAAGTTAGCCGGTTATCAATTTATTTAAAATTTGGTCAAAAAGAGTCTCCGTCTCAAGCCGTTGTGCTTATTGAATATAACCATGATCCTCTTCAGACAAGGACTTGCGGTATATAACTTTCAACGTTCCTCACGTTATCTTGGAGCAGCGAGTTCGGTTCGCTGAAAAATTTGTTTGCGCTGCGTGCTGCTGAGGACAACGAGAAGAAGCCGACGCATGCTTCCAGGACGAACACTTCACATGTTTCCCTCGCGGATTCGTATGACTCCCAGCTTCTACCAAATCTTAGTTGACGACACTTTCCGTCGGTGCGAAATCAAGCGGTAATCTTGTTAGAACAGATTTCCTAATATGTAATTGAAAACTATGGTGGCGAGCTCAACAAAGTAGGTAAGGAAATTTACACGGCTATAACACAAACTTTTCGTTGAAAACATTTCTTTGCAGTTGGTTAACCCAATAACCCTCTCGCATCACTGTTCGCACAATCCTGCCATCGGTACAGCATTTTAACGGTTCTATTACGGTATTTTTCAGGGGTGTGGTGTGACTCTCCTGCGCAATTTCTGAACGTTCGGAGGCGAGCGCTGTCATGTGTATGCATAAACTGGTTCATCCGGGCACATCAGGTCATGATTTGGAAACCAATATAGAAATCAACCGTCAATTTTACACAACTGCTGATGCTACCGCGGACAGCAGAGCTCACTCCATGTTTTTTGAGACTCATGCTGGCCAAATTTCTAATATTATAAATCCCCTGGACAAAAATAAATTGTTACAAGGTGAAAATGGCATGAGAGAGAGGGAGCTCTTATATATCGACAGGTTGGAGTTTAACTACGTAATCCAGGTCATGCACTGGTATAGAAGCACAGGTGAGAAAAATTCATTGCATTCCTTCATGAAGAAAATAATTCACATTGAGTGAGATACTGGATTGCACATTTGCACTGCCTTAAAAATACACTCGGCATAGCAAGATGACCTTATTCTTTCATTTACGGTTGAACCTCTTATTCAAGTCATGGTAAAATAAATGAACTAGGAGCATTTTTTTTTCGGAAGGGAATTTTTCAAATCTGTGCATATTATAAAAATGCATTAATAAAAGTCATTAGTATTGTTAATTATTGATGGATTTCTTAAAACCAGCAGGATGTTACCTAATACTTGGGAAAGTACTGTACTTTATTCAGAAAATAATCTGAAATTTTCTTGGTTTCCAGGTAAAAGTGTTTCATAATTTAGGTCAAAACTAATCATAAAAACACCAGAAGGACATTGGCGTGGGATTCATGTGAAATTTTACGGATAAATGTTGTTTACTTCTGGAGGTCCAACTCAAATAATAATTTGAAATACTGTAGTTCCTCCTTTTTTTTGAAGAATTTGAGTGATGACTTTTGGATCGTTGAACAGGAATCAGAAGTGTTTCGCGGCATTCTGAAAGAAGGACGGGCGTATCATACGAGCTAACGAGTTGGTGAGCGACGGACACAGCAGACTACAGTACACATGCCTGCGCCGCTTTCCGAGCTTCTGTTTGAAAGAAGCGCGCGCGCGCGCGCAAACGCCTCGGGAACTGTCCGAACTGAATAACCTTAGGTGACGTCGTAAGGTGCTAAAAAGCGGAGCTCGACTTAAAAGAGACTCGGAAGTAAGAGTTTTTCTGTTCCGAAAAGCTGCACAATACTGTACTCATTACGCGTCGAAATATTCATGAAGATGTGTGATAGTGTAAAGTGTTGAGCGTGTTTGGTTCGCGGGTCGTTCGGTATGCTATGAAAGGTACCGCAGTCAGTCCATGAGTCAAATCCTCTTCCCCAGTAGCATACAGTATATAGTTATCTGGCAGCCCTGTTCGCAAGCAGCCTCCGTTTGCGCGACTGCGTAAACGCCATGGACTCTTCAGTTCACCGCCGCACTTCGGCGCGCGAGCTTGTTGACTTAATCGCCGGCCTAAAGCCTAAAGCAATCGGTTAGGTTTCATTGAGCTTGTTCCCAATTCAGCGCTTGTATCTCTTGATTGTTCCGAAAAGATTATTATTGCGAACGCACACCAATTTATCTTGATTCCGCATCCGTTACTAGGAGAAAACCTTGTTTGCTTCCTCAAAGTAAGGTGCAATTTAAAAAGAGGTCTTGGAAACAAACCTGAGTATTTCCTGGATAACAAACCATTTTCCTGCAAGAATATTGTTTTCAGGTGTGTCTGTATGTGTATGTGTATGAGTATGTGTGTGTGTGTGGGAATGTGTATGAGTATGGGGGTGTGTGTGTGTGCTCGCATGTGTGTGTGTGTGTAACTGTGTATGTATGTGTGTGTGTTAGTGTGTGCGTGTGTGTGTGTGTGTGTGTGTGTGTGTGTGTGTGTTGTGTGTGTGTGTGTGACAATGCGGGCTGTGATGGGCAGTCTAAAATAATTTTTAATTTTTATTTGTGACCTCAAAGATTTGAAGAAAGACATTCTTCTTATCTGACTTCTATTAGGTCAAAGTATAAGGGAATGCAAGGATGTTTTGCAATTTTCATAATTAAGCCAAACTCCGAGACCATATTTTCGATTTTGGAAATACAATGCACTGGTATGAATGAAAGATGTCCTCCTTCATAAAATGTGATGTCCTATTGTTGCAGCATTGAAATATGCCTTTATTCGATTTGGATCCATTTTACCATATTTCAGCCGGTGTGGTTCACGGATTGCAAAGCACAGGGTGGTATGGCAGGATTTGTGGTGGCCATTCGCAATGACAACTTACTGGCTCAGGACACCCAAGTCATTAATGAATACAAATGCAGGATATTTCATCACACCATCTCTATTGCCAACAGTGTCTTAGCAACTACACACAGATACGACTCAAATGGTGGCACCTTCTTCATGAAATGTCCACCTGGAACCGTGAGTTTAACACTGCATGCTTGTCGAGTATGAGGAGTAGACTGGCATGATGCTGCTTTCAAGAACGAAAGCGAGTTTTCCTCAACTAGATTCATCAATTGTGAGCAAATCTTTTCAGTGGAGTCCATGGAGAGTCCTCCAGAAAAAAAACCAACACATCCAAAAAAAATCATATAAAAATTTGGAGCAGAAATCAAGGATTAGCCCTTTATGAAGGTTTTTTTGTTTTGAAGAATACAGAAGCTCCGGGGAGATTTTCCCGGAAAAATGGTTCAAATCACATTTGCACAAATTTCTAAGCTTTTGCACATTACGCTCAATAATCAGTTCTTTTCCAGAAAAAAGTACTGCATGTTCAATTGAATTGATCTGAAACAAAACCCGCCCGATGATTATTTTCCATACTGAAATGTGGAGTGTTTTGCACAGTAATAAAACCTTTACTCTGATCAATTCCTTGTGCTTGTTTTGTAATGCTCAAATAAGTCTGTCTTTCTTCCTTATTTACCCAATGGATTAAATCTGTATACGTGTGTTCATCAGCAATGTCTAAATTTGATGCGGAAAACTAGGAAATGAAATTCCAAATATATAGATCCATAAATTTTTTTTGAGAACTTTTGTTGCGGGATGCTTGAATTTTTCTCAATTAGTTCTGAATTTTAATGCTTCTATAGCATTTCTAACTTTTCGAATCTCGAAAAATTCTTTGAAAGGTGTTAGCACATCTTTTTATTCTGCATATGGTTAAGCTTTCAAGGGGAAGAGCCATGAGCATATTTTCATAGGGAAATAGTAAAGGTTGTATAATTTCTTAGCATTTTCAGAGAGCTTATAAACGTGTTTTGAGTGTTCATTCAAAAATTTGAATTTTTATTTTTATTACGTTCATATACACAAAAGATTACAGGTGGGGTTTGATCTAATTACTATATTAACTTTTGGGGACATCAGATGAAGTGTGTATAACTTATTTGAATAATTTATTTTTTTACTGAGATTTTTCAAAATTAATGCCTGGAAAAATGTTCACATCAGACCTGCATAATATGATCACTTAGATCTTTTGTATCTGGCATCCCAATTTCTTATTCCTGCTTGAAAAAGTGGATGATCTTCTGGAAATAAATCAGCTTCAATTGCGCATTTTATCAGTTGCGCCAATTTATTTGTTCCGGGAGGATGATGTGAGGAACCAATTGGAAGCATGCTTGTCATTGAGTAGAGCTTCCATATACATGCTACAATAACGAACCCATCAGTCACATTTGGTAACAGATATTTCAGACTTTCCTGGGAAGTTCTACCTGCTGGAAGATTTAATGAAAATGCCTCACAAAGTTTCTTCTACTGGAATTCAAAAAAAAATGGTAGTATTTTTTGTTCTATGGGCTTTCTGCTGGGATTCAAGAACAAATAAGTTTGTGATGCAGAAATATGTGTTGCACTTGTTATTGTTGCAATATATAATTAAGAATATACTGTACAGGATAATTTTCCAGGTGATGTCAGCTTTATACGATGATGACGGGCATCCAAAGGATCACCAGGCGGTGACTTACATTCGCTGTAACACTTTGGAGTTGCCCTGGAAAGTGGACAATACCAACTGCCACAGCATCGAATTGTTCCGAAACCTGGGAAACGCAACCTTGTCGTGGATGAATGATCCCGGCTTGAAGAAAACTGCAGATGAAGTGTGGGGAGCCGAGTGTGGAGACAAGAACAACATGGAGGCCATGGTCATGCTCGATTTGCACGACTCTGCAAATTTCAGGGTGGAGAGAATCCAGTGCTGCAAAGTTATCAAAGTCTGAATCATGTTCATTAACCATCACTTATCGCTACGATACAGCAATATATGTAGGGAGACGTTATTTTGAAAATAGAACGTATATAGCGTGTCATTTGATTTGTGCGAACTTCAGAAATTTTCAAAACCCTAAACTTCTGAATGATGAGTCGGGAACTTTTTTTTGTTCCACTTTTCTGTCACTCTAAGGTTTGTGACATTTCGTCGTCGCCTTTTAGCCTGGAATGGAGACACACCTGGTTTACATCTTTTAATTTTCAAAAATGAATGCACAGTACTCCTACATACTTGAGAATTGTAACATCACCTGGCGTTACATAATTCTTTGAAAGCATTTTCCTAGAAAAATGTGTTGGTAATGGAGATGTAAGAGTATTATTGTAGCACTGTAAAATTGCCATTGTGAAACAATTCAAGAGGCTGAAAGTGGACATCTGTAACCCTTTTGTATAATGCCTGCACCTTATTGAAGATGGAATGTTTGACAGATGAATATATGGAATCTCTGTTTCATTGAACATTTCTCACTGATTCAGACCTGTGTAAGAGTTCCTTTTTCTTCAACAAACTTTTCTTCAAAAGAAGCTTTGAGTGCTTTTCATCGCTATTGTTGATTCCACTTGAATTTATACCCTGTAAACATTTCCTTATGGAAATGTTGATGAAATATGATTGTCTGTCGAAACATAACTACGGTGATTCGTCAATTTAAGAAAGTGCGAATGTTGCTGAAATGCCACAATATGATATCCCTACCTTTTCCCTGTCACTGCAAACAAATTTTAAGCTCTTTCATTTTTGAACCTTTGGAATCCAAGTAGCTGACGGAATTTTTTTTTAAATGGATAAATTGTGCATCAATTCACGATTATTAGAGGTGAGGATCAAAGGGGATGTTTTCCACTTTTGTTCAGATGAGCTAATGAAGCTGTTTTCAAAAGGAGCAGATTCTGTGTTCTATGCTACATGCCTTGAATTAATCTCAAATATTTCAGAAATCCGAAGTCATCAGCAGACCTTTTTTCATTAGAGATTTTCAAAATAAATATTACAACCCTCCTAGACCCCTGAGAGCGTATGAGATTCAAATTGTTGGGAATTGCGATTCGAAAACTATTTCTGTGCATTACTTTGATAGCCGTTAACAAGATGTCACTGCTTTAAATTTTCCTACTTTTCCGGTCTATGTATATTGCATCAAGGTTTAATTTTGCCCTAGGGCTTTGGGATTCACCTGCACACCTGAAAATGTGGCCTGCATAGCCACTCCTGCTCTAGGCAGAACTGATTTACAATCCCTACGCAAATACTTTTAAAAAGTTTGGACTCTTGAAAATCAATGAAAAGACTCATTCCAAAATCTTTGAGAACCAAGATAAATTCTCCACTTTACACAATCCATTCTCAAAGATTCTCTCCAAATTGTTTAATCAACAAAAATGTATCTGGAAGCAGGCTGAACACCTTATGCTTTAATTTGGGTTCAGTAATTGCCTTATGCTGTGATTTTTATTACTGATGTATTCTTTTTATTACTGGAGAGGGACAGCAGAAAGTGCATGCATTTACATCCGTCACACAATTCTACATTCTGGGATTTATTTTCTTTTCTTTTAATGTCCATATGCAGCTTATTTCTCTATTTACCATTCTGAGGTGATGGAAATGTGTTTGGATTAATGCTGGTGGGGGAAAGGAGGGGGTTTGGATGTGGGAACGTTGCTTGAATCTTCTGAATGCTGAGAAGCAGAAAATAAAGTGCAATGATCAATCAGTCAATCAATATAAGTACTACACACATAAATGCTGGCTTTGAAAAATCTTTACAGACTTATTTTGAAGAATGTTTTGCTTCTTCCAACATTCCTGGTGATTTATTCAAAATCCTCATGCATCAAAGAATGTCTTTCTGATAGAGCTTGCAATAACCTTGTTCTGCAGCAATTGATTACCCAGGAAAACCATTTTGCGCCCCCATATGTGTAAGGGTCCATTTCAACTTTGTATGGACGCGTACCAACTAGTGGCCAGTTGACCCTACTGCCGGACTTGAAAATGGACACGTCCGCAGTGGTCGCGTCCTTGACTGGTGATTGGTTGCGTCCATTCTGGACGCGACCAGGACGCGTACCTTGATAAATTGTCAAAAGGGGCATGGAAGTGGTATGCCCCAAGGTAGGCCTACCTTGGGACAGCCTGACGTAGGTCTATGTCAGGATATGCAACCCGCGTGGTGCAACGTAGGCCTACGTGGCGACATGCACTGGAAGGCTGCAACCTAGATCCAAGTTGGAAGATGCACTGAGATTGCATGTTGCGACGTAGATCTATGTCAGGAGGGCGCGACGTAGATCTACGTCGCGATATGCTTGCTTATATTGTAGCCCTTGAAGTCCTCTTTCTGAAACTTTTTTCATATTGAATTTATCTTCATTTTTGAATTTTTGGCAAAATTTAAAGTAAATGTAACTTTTTAAAATGAAGATAAATTCAATTTGAAAAAAGTTTCAGAACACACAGAACACACACACACACACACACACACACACACACACACACACACACACACACACACACACACACACACACACACACACACACACACACACACACACACACACACACACACACACACACACACACACACACACACACACACACACACACACACACACACACACACACACACACACACACACACACACACACACACACACACACACACACACACACACACACACACACACACACACACACACACACACACACACACACACACACACACACACACACACACACACACACACACACACACACACACACACACACACACACACACACACACACACACACACACACACACACACACACACACACACACACACACACACACACACACACACACACACACACACACACACACACACACACACACACACACACACACACACACACACACACACACACACACA